GAAAGAGGAAGAGAAAGATGGCCACTCTGAATAGGGTCTCATGCTGCAATCTTCCCCATCATCCCAAGCCAGTCAAAATCATGGGGATGTGCTTCTCGTATGTACAGGTCAGCTGGGAACTAAACGCACAATCTCGTACATGGGTCTTGCTTTGCATGAGCAGTGTGTTACCACTGTGCCACCGAGGCAACCCCTCATGCTAATATTTCAGCTCCTGTTGCTTTATAGTGTATTTTGAAACACATACGTGTGTATGTACATGAGATACATAAACACACACACACCTATGTGCATATATGCACGCTTTTTAAAAAAGCTATTCTTGGGCCACCAGTAGTGGAGTGATTAAGATGACTGGATCCCATATGGTTTACTGCGTTGTTCAAGTCCTGGACCTGACAGCTTGAGAAACACTCTGGGCATGTGTATGTGGTTGCCCAATCCTGAAAGGAGGGAGAAATGGAGAACAAGGGGTTGTGGTGCGACCAGTCTGCATAAGGGGTGCATTCTCACTTTTTCTCTCTCTGACGTGCCCAGTGTGATTTTTAAGCCACTGGGTTTACATCTCAAACCATCGTTGGCCACGTGAGAATCCAGTGCCTTAACTACCATGCCACCTGCTGACCCTACGATTAGATTTTTAACCTATCTCGATATATATTGGTTTTAGTTTTGCATTGTTTTTCTTTTTTAAAAAAGAATTATTCAATTTATTTATTTAATTGTTACTATTCTTTAATTTGACCAGAGAGAGAGAGACAGAGAAAGAAGGAAGTAACAAAGCAAGCCATCAGGTCTGGGATTCTAACCATGGTCAGCCACGTGGGAGTCCAACACCTTAACCACCATGCTACCTGATGGCCCCAGTTTTCCATTGTTTTTTAAGCCACCAGGTTTTGAATTCAAATTTCATAGTCAATCATGTGGGATTCGGTTGCCCTAACCTCCACGCCACTGGCTGATCTGCCAGTATATTTTTTTATTTAAAGTATATTTCTTTGATGAGAATGACAGGGGAACAGAGAAA